TTAACTTGAAAATACCAAACACTTAACCTGTTTCTTACAATATCTAACCTACTATATGGGATTATGACGTTTTTTTCTTTCTTCTAAAAACATGTTTGCTGCTCTTCTTAATTTGTTAACAGCTACAAATATCTAAGAAATGTGTTCCTTCAATAGTTTGTTGTATACTGTCTTTGTCGGTTTTTCTCTCTCTACCTAACAGAAACACTGACTCAAAGCTCCTTTGCTCAGTCTTGTTAAATGAATTGAAGCAGCACAAGCACTCAGCATCGTGGCGGCCAGCATTCCTTTTGCACTTGAAAGAGAGTTCATATGATCTTGTGACTGCAGTCACTTCTGTCAAATCTGAAATGTGGTGCAATGACAAACTTATTTATAAATTTCCATAGCTTATAGAGTGTCAGAATATAGCTCAATTGCCTAGTATAACTGAACAAATAGAAATTCAATCAGCAGACTAGTATATGAAGGTGAAATATTGACAATAATATATAACGAATTAATAGTAATGTTCTAAAAAGCAATTCACTCATGCTAGAAAACAACTGCTGAACTGTAATGTCACTTACAGTGGTAAGAAATAGCTTGACTCTTGGCAGGTATGCTGAAATTCTTACCACATTAAATATACAGAGTGGCCAAAAAGTCTGTTAACTTAAAACAGTATCTTGAATTAATGAGAACGCTTAGATTTAAACTGGCCAGTCAATTCATATAAAAAATTCACAGCACTGTGAGCTTCATATTCATGATAGAGAATCTCGTATTGAACAATTTTTGTAAATTCAGTAAGTAATAAATAAATAAATAAATAACCCCCGTGCAAGAGTTAGACGTGGTTACATAAGGTGGAGTGAGAATTGATTAATGAGAAGTTATGAGGATTTCAGCAGATTTCTGTGACAGAAACATGTCGAGGAATCAGGTATGTGGTTGTTTATAATTACATTCCTTCATAGTATTAAGACCTGTTTATGTAACGTAGTATTTTCAAAATTAGTTACCAGTTTTTCATTTCTGAAATAACCGAAATACATGAAATAGTCATGATTGTAGGTATACAATTACGTGACGGTAAATGTAAAGGATTTCAGATGGTTTAAATAATATAAGTCAGCCTCTTTAATTAAAAGTGGGTACTTGACCTGGTATATAGCAGACCACCTATATATACGAGTATATAGTCGACTACTGTTGGCTGTAAATATTATTTTATAACCAACCCAGCAACAAGGCCTTGGACAAAGAGAAGTATTTATGCTACTGAAATATTTCTAATGGCAGTGGATGTATAAAGAAAAGAATTCAGACTCCCTTTAGATCAGATTGATTCAAAATGATCCCTACCGCTTATGATTGTCATTCACAGTGTCATATTGCACATTTAGAAATCTAAAACCTTCATGGTTAAACATACCTAAAAGTTACAAGAAAAATTTCTTTGTTATGTAACCTGCAGGGATGCAAATTCCTCTCAGATGATTCTAGCAGCTGTCTTGTGCCCCATCGGCATTTACCTCATAACCTCATGTGGACAAAGCTAACATTTATTTTGTGTGTGGGAAATCTTGCCCAAAAGAAGTTTATGGAATTCAAGCAGTAATTTTTCTCAGGCCTCGCCACAGTTATGTTGATATTAGGCTGGGAAAGTTAAGTTTTGCTGTAAACAAGGATGGCTGAGTTACTGTTCCTAACTAGGCGTCTGGCACAGTAGTCAGGAAGTTAGGTTTCTCTTTTCTCTATAGCATTCAGACTGAATCTAGGGCCCACACAACACACCATTCAGTAGGTACCAGACTTGGTTTCCTCAGAAGGTGAAGTGTCTGGGGCATGGAATTGATAGGTCCCATCCATTTAGTGTCAAGATTAAGAGTGGTTGGAGCTATACCTCCACTACCCATACATCTTCATGATGTGATGTCTAATTAAGAATGTGCTCCAAAGTACGGAATTGACATTGACTAGGCTTTTTTGTATTTACAATTATTTTTCACAATAAAAAATGGAGGTCAATGATCCTGAGAGAATAAATGAATATTTATTTATTTATTTCGTCTCTATAGATCATTGCTACATGATATAGGACAAGTCAGTTACTGTACATTGGCTGATTACAATAAAAGAGTAACGTTACAATACTTACAGTTGTTTGCAATAGATTACAGTAGATTACAATAAATAATTAGAGTTCGTATAGTGTGAGGTGGAATCCATATTAGGTCCCCTCGGCATGTGGGCATCCATATATCCACATGTCCTATTGTACCTGTACCGGTGATAATGCTTATGGAGAATTTGATGGAATGAGGATAGGCAGGGGAAACTGAAGTACTCAGGGAAAACCTGCCTCAGCGCGCTCAGCGCCACTTTGTCAATCCCACTTGACTAGACCGCAACGGTATTCATGAATTAAGTAATTATAATTGCTTAGTGATTGTCTCACACGAGAGAAACTCATCCACTTTATAAAAACAATGACTGAGTAGGTAAGTTTTCAAAGCATTTTTGAACTTATATAGTACTTGTATTTCTTTAATATATCGTGGCAGATGATTTAGCAGTTGAAGTCCTAACCAATGGTCAGTGAATATTACATAAAGGCGTTTCCTTTGCCAATCTGTCATCTGTGTCACTTAGAGCACATTCAAAATGATACAGTATCGATCTTGTGGTCACCTTGTGTTCCCTATTTCACCTAGTTCACAATTTCGTATTGTAGAATGTACTCTGCAGCCGACCAAGACCAAGAGGACCAAGAGCACCAAGAGTGAAGAGAAATACGTTGAAATGATGGCTGTAGGTTACATTTCCTGTAGAGAAATTTAAATGTGTTTGTCAGTGTTGTGAAACAGAATTAAAACGATTATTTTTTGTTTTGCAGGGCGAAAGCCAGTCATCAGTACTGGACCTGATGGAATATTTTCAGAACTTTGAAGACAAATTGGATGGTGTTGGGCTTCTTTCTGCTGCAAGTGCAGGGGAAGCAGAAGAAGTACCAGCACCAAAGCATTCAAAACTTCATTTAACACGTAAGAATGATCAACAGAAGTGTTATGTTTTAAGAGGTTTTGAATAAGTTGAGGATGATTCATAGTAAAGTAAAGTAAATGAGGTTTGATCTTACAAAGGAAGGATGGAATTTTGCAGATTTTAAAACAATCTCCTATGATGTATGTGTTGCACCTGTCATAGTAAACCTTTCAATGAGTAGTGTTTGACCTGAAAGTTCATATGAATCAGTCTTGAATTTGTGATTGCAAGTGACTTAAAAGAGAGTTTATTGCTGTCATGATATAAATTCCATTATATAAATCTGAATATTTCATTCATCAGTTGGTAGTGAACCTTTTAGTGTTAATGTCACTGAGCTCTTTTATTACGAACATACTGGAAACTTTCAAATTTCTGTATTATTAAATAATATTTGTCTTAGAATGTGAAGTATGTAGCAGTTTGTAAGTTTTGAGGTTTTCACGGCGATGACAATGAAGAAAGTCGTCTTCTGGGTTTAGGCACCGTGTATTCTTCGTTTTGGCCGACGTTTCGGAGGAACGTAGCGCCTCCATCTTCAGAGCTACTGCTCCACACAGCTACTGCTCTCCGCATTCCAAGCCATTCAACTGCTCTGAAGATGGAGGCCCTACGTTCCTCCGAAACGTCGGCCAAAACGAAGAATACACGGTGCCTAAACCCAGAAGACGACTTTCTTCATTGTCATCGCCGTGAAAACCTCAAAACTTACAAACTGCTACATACTTCACATTCTAAGACAAATATTATTTAATAATACAGAAATTTGAAAGTTTCCAGTATGTTCGTAATAAAAGAGCTCAGTGACATTAACACTAAANTGTACCCTTAAGGCTCGCCAGAGTACAGTCTTTTCCTAGTAAAATTGATCAATGCCATGAGGCGTGCCTATGCTTGCGTCTGTGCGCTTAGCCACAGAGTAATTCTGTATAAACGGTTGATTATGTTTTGACCAGTGCCTGCCCATCAGGCAGAGTACACCTGTATACTTTTGTTATCAATATACACATTTATTTATATGTTGGAAACGCCAGTCGTATTTGTGTATACTTGGGTTGTGTGTGTTCCCTACTAGTTCAGACTAGCAGATCCGTCCAGCTTGGCCCACAGTGCCGACAGTGGTTTCCTCTCCCGAGATCCCCTACTCGACCTTGGGGAGGCATAGTGCATCACGTACAAGCAAGTCGTCTTATGAGCCTGTCCCTTACCCATATTGAGCAGGAGTTCACGGGTCTAAGTGGGTAGCAGAGCGTGGGTTCTCGACCCACAGGGTCGAGGGACTCGACGGCTCAGTTCCAGAAAAGAATTGGACACCAAGAAGTATATTTTACTCAACAAAATTAAATAATTTTTGTGTGTCTAATGTACGGTAACTGATGCTTAAAGTATTTCTTTGCAGCTGAAGAGAAACAACTACTAGAGAAAGAAGGCATCACACTCTCTTCTCATCCTCTCACACAAGCTGAAGAGCGTAAACTTAAGATGATTAGAAGAAAAATACGCAATAAAATAGCAGCAGGGGATTCACGCAAGAGAAAAAAGGAATACCAAAATGCCTTGGAAGAGAGTTAAGAATCTCATATTACCAAGTATGCAACATGTATGTATGTATGTATATAAGGGGTGGGCCATAGAAACTGGCGCCTGCAGTGCGACCTTCAATGATCTGTTGTGCTTCCCCTTGGATTAGCCCTAGGATGCAAACATTCTTCAGTACGTATTTTATCAGCATCTTTTTTTTTAGAGAATTTCCCTTTGGCAGAGAGAATTAGTTGTGATTATATACGTGAAATAAAAAATATAAGACATTATTACTGTGCTGAAATTAGCACACACGTATAAAGATGTTGAGATGATATTAATTATGATAGACTACAACTGAAACATTTATAAATCTTGTAACCCCAGGTTTAATGTTGGTAATTATATATTACTGCTCTGTCCATCAGCTTGTTGTGGCCAGTTTGTACTGAGCTCCTGACTGTATATAATATTGGTGTTCACTGTGGTAACTGTCTTCAGGATGAATGAGGAAGTGGGCTGGTATGTAGGGCTTACAGTAGAAGTAATGGTGGCCATGGTGTTTTCCAATGGGAGTGAACCTTGTGGGCAAGAAGGGTTGGAGAAGACTTGCAGCCAAACTGCGTGGGTGTATCCATCTTGGTTGAAGTTGTGGTGATGTCTGTTTTGACAGATTCCCTGACTATCTAAAAGTAAGTAAAGTAAAGCTGTCCCTGTAACAGGCCGTGAATGCCCATAGGGTTGTGTAACGTTGAGGGTCCCACTTTATCAAGACAGTTGGCTCAAAGATGGGGGTAAGTTTGTCAGCCCTAAGCGCCGGCCACGCT